AAGCCACGAATACCCATTGCAAGAGGGGGATTAAGGCACGTACAGTTATCTATGCACACGGCGCCTGCCTTTGCATGCAGCCAGGATGCCTTGCAGCCTCGACCCGCAGCTGCTCCGAGCGCCTGCTGGGGCCGGGAGAGCTGCCACAGTCCCACGTGACACGGGGCACCCACATGGGACCCCGCACCGCGGCTAGCACCCTCCTGCGGTGCTGGGACCAGGTCCCTCCCTGACCTTCCTGGGTCACCTCTTCGGCCAGGGCTTTTGCTTCTCTGCCCTCTCCAAGGTATGGCGAGCAGGTGCTGCAGCTAAAATAGACCGTGCTGCCATGTGACTCAAATTCCCTCGCTGGTGACCTTTATTGTCATCCCTGCCAGCACCCGACACAGGGCGCAGCACAAAGCGTGCCGGCCCGCAACAGTGGGGCTCGCCGCCAGCTGTCCCAGGGAAACTGAGGCACGGAGGCATGCAAACAGTCATCCGCAGGGCCCAGGTGTCTGCAGCGCCTGGGCTGCTCCCCCCCCTGTGCATTTGGCCACTCGCCCTCGTACTGGCTCGGACTCGGGAGCCACTGTGCAGGCAGAGCACACAGGAACTGAAACCCCCCCGGCCTGGGCTAGTATTGGCTCCGGACCGCTCGTGCACAGGTATTCACCTGCTAAATTTGCACTCCTCGAGCAGAAACCGGCTCAGGCTCCCCAGGCAAGAACCACACTAGTTATTTACAGCTGCGGACACCTACGATGAGAGCAACCAGCACACCACAGACCACCTGCTCCTGAATCCCGCAGCCCCGTCGGTTGCAAGACGCAAACCGCCCAGATCCTGCCAGCACAATCCTTCAAAGGGAAAAGCCAGGGGTTTGTTTTGTTTCTTCTTTAAATAGTGGAGCTGCTGAAATGAGTCCGAGGGCAAACGAGGTGCGTCTGCTGAAGGTAACCCACAAAAACCCCTCTGTTGCGCCGCTGTACGCTTGTTCCCAGCCCTTCGGACAGGCTTTTCGGAGACTGTGCTGCTCTCTTTTAATAGCTAGAGGGGTTGCGCGAGGCCAGGGTGAAACGGCCACACTATACGTGACCACAGCCGAGGCAAAGGGCTGGCGTGACAGAGCTGCTGCAGACCCGTCATCATCAGAAGGGTGCAAGACATGGCCGGATTGGGTCCGTGTTGTTATAGACACTTGCAAGAGCTGAAAACCTGGGTCACACCAGGCTGATGGGACACAGAACGGCTGGAGAACAGTTGGGCACAGAGGGGATGTGAGGCTCAGGGCAGGCAAGAGTGGGGCTCCGACGGATGCAAGGCTTTGGTAGGTTTATGTGAGATGATGACAAGAAAACCCCATGCCTCAACTTCCAAGAGAGGAAGAAAGAGCATCCTCGTAGGAGATAGTATGTTTTGGAGGACAGTGGGCCCAGCGCCTAGTTCAAATCCTGTCTCTGAGGGGAAAAATTTGCTCTCCTGCTAAAGCAGTGCTGGGCTGTGGACCCTGGCTAGGAGATTACTGGCCAGAGGAGGAATCTGCCCTCAAGGCTTTGCTGCGTGAGCTGGAAATGGTCATCCAAGCCCTGTTTGTGCAAAAGGCCACATGCTCTGGATCCTGCTGATGCCCCAGGGCAGGACAGTGCCTTACACTTTTTAGGCTGGAGATGACACCTTCTTCTGGCTGGTTCCTTGTCTTCCATCTGACCCAAGCTGGGAGCCAAACTGAGCTCTGGCCTCGCACCTGGGAGGCACAGGGTCATCTCAAACAAGAGCGGGAGCAGCAAGGAAGGCTTGGGCCAGCCGAGCAGAGTAAGCCATGCACTGGTACGGGAACACTTACCTAGGATCTTGCTGATGCTGGAGTTGTGCATGTCTGGGAAGGCCTGCAAAATCTTCCGCCTCTCATCCTTTGCCCATACCATGAAAGCATTCATGGGTCGCTTTATGTGATTGTTGTTTCTGGACTCAGGGAAGTGCCGTGAGCCTGCAAAGGGTAGAGTGAGAAAGGTTAGGACCAAGGATGAAATGCAGACACGAAGAAGGAGCAAACAGCAGCCTGCAATGCAGAGGGAAAGCTTTAAACCTGCAGCAAAGTCATACACTGTACTAGGTTCTTCCCTTAGACCTTCAAATGCTGCGTGGGCAAAGCTCAGAGGGGAACACCCAAGTGTTGGCTAACTTCAGAAGCATGCATGTTAGCATCTCAAAAGGGATATCTTAGGGCCAGCTGCGGGAAGGACTGCAAACCTCTTGATTCTCCTTGAGTTTTGGGTTCTTAGATCCTTTAGGAAAAGAAACTGGCTTCAGCTAGGGAGCTGTGGGGGGGGGGGTCTCAGCTCCTGAAAATTGAGCTTTTGGGGCCTTGTGTTAGATATTCACAAACTAAGGGACAGTTTTGAGCAGACATTAGGAAATACAGATTGTGGATTACACTGGTGCTCTTAGCTTCTCTTGAGCTCAGGCACAGTGCCTTCCTTACCATCCATCTCACAGGTTAACAAGGCCTCGTCCAGCCTATGGGCAGGGGTCTCCTCCATCCGCTCCTTCCCTGGGGAAGAATCAATCCCAATGTGGTCCTACAAGAGAGCAGAGGGGCATTTACTGCCAGCCAGGGGCAGGTCAGAGCCAGAACGCCTGAGCAGATCCTAAGAGGGGAACCTCCCCATGGATGGAGGCCCTGAGTGTGGCCACTACTGGTGGGGTAAGGTGAGATGAATCACAACCATACAGCAGGTTTTGCTCACCTTTCGGTAGGGGTTACTCAGCGACCCCTCCATGGCCCCGCTGTGGCCGTGCAGCAGCTGCCGCGCGTCCTGGATTGCTTTGGTGATAGCGTCGCCTTCACCCAGGAACCCTGGTGACAAACCAGCGTGGGGCATCCATCAGCACCTCCAAAAATCCCCACAGCACCCAGTCCCACCCCAGCAATCACAACAGGAGCTGCTCAGCCCTATGGGGTGACACAGAGCAGTAAGGTGGCTTCTGTCCACTGAGGACACCCCAGGGAGGACAGACCCCAGGGAGCAGAGATGTCTTCTGTCTAAGGGAGGTGGAATCAGCCAGGAGAGGAACCATCTCTGGACCTGGAGGCCAGAGGAGCATCCATCAGCGAAGGCGTGTTTGGGTACACACCCAAAGGCAGGTTGGACGGGCTCGTCTGTAGGTCCCTTGTGGCCCCGTGACTAGGAGTGAGGGATTGGCAGCTGTTCAACTTCAAGCTGGGTGAACTGGAGGCACTGGGGAGATCGGAGCCTTTGGGTTTGGCTGTCAGGTTCAGTGGCTGCGAGGTTTCCTGCAGAGGAGGGAAGGGAGGGTGAAGCACAAGCCCGCAGGACTCTGGCTTCTGGTGCAGGGGGCAATTTGGGGCTGTACCTGCATCTGGAGGTGGCCTGAGCCGCTGGGCCTCTTCAACGTAGGAGGTGGGGGGCTGTGCAGCAGCTGCACGGGGTAATCCACTGCAGGAAGGAGACCGGGAGAGCCGTTGTGGGGGATGGCCACACTGCACGGCTTGGGTAGTCCCATCCCTCAGCCTTGGGCCCTGGGGACCCATCTCACCTGGTTTGCAAGGGATGGGCTGGATGGGCAGAGCTAGCTGGGAGTCCGGAGTCACGGGAAGGGGCTGGTGACTGGGGGTGAAGGCAGGGATCATAACGTAGGGCATGTTGACCTGCTGGAGGGAAGACAGGAGAGATGCAGAGAGACCTGATAGCTGGTGTGGGACATGGCAGGGGGTGCAGCCCCCTTGCCTGGCCCAGACAGGGGACACGAGCCGGGCACACAGGCTGCAGCTGCTGGGGGCTGAGGGTGTCCCAGGGAGGTGTCCCCCACCTGTACCTGGATCTGCTGCTGCAGCAGGTTGATTTTGTGCTGCTGCTGGATAAGCTGCTGTTGCTGCTTTGCGATCTGGTGGAAAGGGAGACAAAGAGGGTAAGTGGCTTTAACAGCACCATGAAGTGGGGCACTCACTCTGCCGGGGGACTCACAAGCGGCTCCCCAGGGACCCTGCTGGGGCTACAGTCAGGCACAAACTGCCTGCGCACCGGCACAGCAGAGACAGCCACTCTGCAGAGACTCCCGAGGGCTATGGGCAAGCTCTGCTTGGCAACTCCAGCGAGCTCCCCAGGGGCACGTCTGAGACACCTCGAGGGGCAGGGGGAGAGATAAACAAGCGCTGGCGGGATGATGCTTCACCCCACACCCCAACACGTGCCTGGGGACATCCTCCTTGCACATAGTGCCCCCAGGGGCTGTTGGAGAGAAAAAAATGGATGTTCAAGAGCAAAGGAGAAAGAAGGGTCAGGAAAAGAGCCAGTGTGGTTTAATTATTTTAAAGAGTGCAATTCTCATTTCCTCGGACACTCATCCACCTGCACATGCAGAAAGGGGCTGGATAAGTACGACTCATATTCTCCTGGTACCATGGAGCAAAACAGGAAGCCTTTGGGATGGACAAGGGAGGACACAGAAAAGGGGAGGGATTTGGGGGGGCAGATGATGCCGAAGCCACACTCCCACCATTTCGAGGGGGACCCCCATCCTCCTGGTCCTGCACCAGCAGCCAGCAGCACTGCCCGCCTCATGCCCAAGGGATCCACGAGGGGATGGATGATCCTGATAACCAGCTCTCCCCGGTTCTCTGCTCCCGCTGCGGGGACGGCCGGGGTTACGGTGGTGGGGAAGGAGGAGAACAGCGGACACCCACCTGCTCTTGCTGCTGCCGCGCCAGCTCCATCTGCTGCTGCTGCTTCTCGAAGAGCATTGCTGCCATGTTCTTCTGCTCCGAGTGGGCCGTCAGGAGCTGGTCCCGGAGCGTGGACAGCTGGTTGATCATAACGAGTAGCTGGAGCTCTTTCTCCGCCAGGCTCTCCTGGGTTCCTGGGCCAAGGAAGAAGCCAAGCAGCTACTGGTCAGGAGCTCGTGGGTGGGTGAACACCATCCCAACTGTAGCTGGGTGCTTGTGGGCGATGCATTGCTAAGGGAGCATGAGAGTGGGATGTGAAACCCCTGACGTGTTCAGGGAAGGGCTAGTGAACCTTCTTGCTTCAGCATTGCCTCTGTGCAGTCAGAGGCAAGTCCTTGCACTCTTTTATCAGTGATGGCCTGCCCCCGCCCCCAATTAAGCGAATATATTTTGTTAAAAAGCTACACATTTTGATTAAATATGGGAAATTACAGCCACATTTCTCCTCCTACTAGCCCAAGAAACACAGGGTTTCCAGCCCAGCGTGTTCAGGCACAAAGAGCAAAAGGGAGGACGGTGGAGGTGGGCAGCAAAGTGCCGAGGCTCACCTTTCACTTCTTTGGACTCCATGGTGTTTCGGCCCAGCAGCCGCTCTTTCCAGTCACTAGACAGCAATTTCTCAATGGTCGGCATAACTGTTGCCGTCGGCACACACCGGGAGGCAGCCCGGCAGAGCGAGGGAGAGGAAAGCTCGGTGAGAACAGCTTGCGGCTCTGCACCATGAAGCGGGATAGCTGTTCCCATCCCGCAGAGCAGAGCTTTGCAAAAACGCCGGGAGGCCCAAAGCAAGCCCCCGGGAGTGGGGAAGTCGGTCCCAGGGGTCTCAGAGGTGCTCGGAAACCTTTCTTACCCTCTTTCAGGTTTCTGTTGAAGTCCAGCTTCTCCTGGCTGCTGACGGTAGGCTCGAAGGCAGACCGCCTGGACTCCAGCGCTTCGCTGGCCGGCGAGCAGGACTCCTGCAACATGCAAAGCGTTACTCGCCGGGGACCCCCATGGATGGGGAGAGTCACAGGTCTCCAGGTAGGGGATGCTCTGAGACAGCCCAGCCTGGCTGGACCACACTTCCCTACAGCACATTCCCTGGGCTGGGGAGCTGCCAGGGAGTTTTTGACAGCATCTCTTTCTCATGGTGCAAAGACTTGTTTGCAAGAGGTTGCTATTATTTATTTAGCCTGCCCTGCTGCTCTGAGCCCCCAGCCTCCCCTTAGGGGCAGAGGTGGGAGTGGGTCTGAGGCTACTGGTCAGGGAGAGACAAAACCCAAAAGCAATTAAAAAGGGAAAATGAAAGGGTTGATCCAGGCCTCTGCGGAGGGACAGCGGAGCATGTCTGCAGGCGGCCAGGGATGGCTCCACGCATCAGGCAAAAGTGCTCAGATCCCAGGGCCGACCCGAGAGCATCGACAATGGCCAGAAAGCCTAGGGGAGCCTCAGGTTTCAGCTTCATTTCCTCAGGATGAAGAATAAGCGTTCAGGGAAAAAACAATCCCCGTCTGCCTGGGGTCAGAGGCCAGCGCATCCCAGGCTGCAGAGCTCTGCCAGCCAGGCAGGACACACCGGGGTAAGGCTGCACTGGCAGCACTGACCCGCCAGACATATGGGACTGGGGACTGGTGGCCTGACACTACCATAGATGAGAGCAAAAAAAATGACATTGAAGGTGGCAATGCAGAAAGGCCACAGCATTCGAGTTCATCCTGGATGCCTGCGGAAATCTGAATGCTTCCTAAGTGGTGCAATGCCCACACCGGGCATCTCCAGCAGACTCGGTCCCCCTGCGGCGGCGGGAGCGCCCGGC